GACTCCACTTATTTATCCATCTATTTCTCTTTCATTTATTTCAATCTTCATATTAGTTTATTAAATCTTTCATTCATTCACTCTATTTTCTATTTTGAAAACCAAAATTATTCATAAGTCATCAAATATAACTTACTAAATGTATTGCCAACTTAAATTTTACTTTCCCATAAAGAATTCAACATAAAAATCACGACTCGTTCTTGGCCAACTTGTTTTCATCAATTTTGTAACTGCTTGATTTCGCTCAGTGTACATCTACTCTCAACCAGCTTCACATTATGACAGCCATTTTCTGTACAAGCACGCCCACATAAAAGAGGCAGTTGCCTAATACTTTTTATAGGCCACGCATTACCGATAAGAAACTCTTTCGCATAGAGATTCGTATGATACGAAAATGGGGGGCAGAGCAGCCAATGGGAGAACCAAAGAGGCAAAGACGGAAGCTGTCGAACTTTGCTCGTGGAACACGGACAGGGAAAGTGGGCAGGGAGGCGGAGGCAGCTGTCGGCCGTATGTTTGGGTTAAAATTTATGCGCTACGCATGCAGATGAGGGTCGCAGCATATGAAGTGGGATATATAGACATAGTTTCTGAGCGTGTGTCGGAAGTATGAGATATTTCCGTTTGAACTTAAAGCTGATTTGGGCTTTACGACTCAGCTCATCAGCAGATGGATGTAAAAAAGAAATATATCAATATATGTATACCATAGAGGTGGGTGGGTTGCCGCACCATCTCCATCGCCATCTAATCTAGTATCCAGCTGTTGCCACGTACCCTTGGCTTCAATTACAGCGCGTCAACAAAACCATTAGAAGAGGGTTATGGAAGGTTATAGACTAAAATTGAAGCCCACACCCGATTAGACAAATTTCTACACCTTAATTGCTTGGAAAACAATCAAAAATATGTCTCTCATATGCTGGTCTCTCACGGCCCCGTGTGCTCTATTCCGGGGTAGGGTTAAGCGCAGTTCAAGTGGTCAGCGCTCGGTCTAACCCTTGAGCGTGTGTCTGTGTGTGAAGGGGCGCCAACTGTTCGTGCCTGTAATTTGAATTTAATAGGAATATTATTTGTTTGTTTGCCTTGTCCAGTCACGAACCCACAACGGAAGTCCACAATTTGCCCAGACTCAAGGGTTAAATTTCCAAATAAAACAAAAAATGAACAGATAACTGGTTTTGCTGTCTTGCTCATTGTTTCGTATCATGTGATCTATTGTCAGTTGTCAGTTGTTTGGATAGACCATATGAGTAGGGTTGATGGGCTCCGATAGGGTTTCGCATTTGCTCAGCTAGGCAATTAAAGGGTTAGCTTTACGAGTGCATATGTGTGTGTGTGGGTGTCTAATGGCCTTAGTGAGTGATGGGTTCAAACAGCGTATAGGGGCTGAATATATGCTCTTAGTGCAGTCATAATTTGAAATTTATAAGGCTGTTATCACATTATTAATAATTGGTAACCAAGAGAGTATAGGTATAATATTTTAGAAGAAAGCCAGCCGGAAAAAGTTAGTAAAAATGAAACTACAGAAAGTGTAGATTTCTCATTGGAAAAGTAGAATTACCAATCGAAATTCTCCTTAAGTTCTACCAAAACTTTTCCAAATAAATTGGTGATTTATGATGGGAAACTAAAAGATGAAGAACTGAAGAATTTTCAACCAAACAATTTTAAAGCAGATTCCTTTCTTTAATTATCATGTAAATTCGGGATTTGTGCTTCTCAGACTTGCAAAAGTACAATGCTTTTCTAGTCAGCTATTCCCCATATTATTATTTTCAATCATAGAACTTTTATTCATTTGTATTATATATATAGTCCTGATCTAAACAACCAACGCTGCTTCCTTGAAATCCTGCCTATAATACCTTGAAAGCCCCTAGTTTGCATGTTTTGATACAATTTTTGGGCTTGATGTCTGTTTTTCTTAGCCTTCAGGCCTCAGTCAACCCGGGCGGACATAATTTGAAGAGTCATGAGTCAATAGCGAACCCTTTCCGCCTGTCAAATGGCTGCGAGGCAGACAGCTCGACAGACAGGCTGCCTGAATGGCAATCAAAAACATGGCGTTGCCAGCAATTTAAATAAAATGCCGCTACAGACACGCCACCTGGCGGCAGTTGTAGAAATTTTGATTAATAAAATGACGCCGACAGCGACTCGAGACGACCCGTTAAATGCCTTCGCGTGACAAACGCAAACTGTCAGCCCCCACCAAGCACCGCCCCAACCCCTCCCCAATGGCTAGTTGAATGTAAACGGAACCAATACATTTGTGAGCGTAACATGCCATAAATCAAGCGATACGTTAACTTGATGATTTCGCGTTATAAACAGGCAACTTTTTATGCCACGGCCCGACAGAAGTCTTAGGAAAAACTAAAAAAAAATGAAACAACTACATAGAGTCGGATTTGGAATACCCTACTAGATAAATAAACTGCTAGACTTTTCGATTCACATGAAAATCAGGAATCAGTCGATCAGTCCTAATTATCGGTGAGAAAAGCTAAAAATGTATAATATTTGTGGTACATTTAGAAAAGTGGGGAAATATGAAAAACTTCTAGAACTAGATTGAGCTTTAGAGCTGGGCTATATTTAAGTATTCCAAAAATGTTTATTTTAGATTTAATTCAGAATTAATTTATAAGAATATATGTATATCCATATAAATGCGAACTCACATTTCCTTTCCAAAAACTCGACTACCCAATGCAAGAGTAACCAAAACACGAGCCCAAGTTTTCTTGTTTATATTTTGGGGTGTACACTTAATAGTGTCCACAAATACACCCAGCCACCCAAACACACTCACCCACACACATGCACAGTGAGAAGTCGAGTCACATGTGTATTAACGGTTTTTCTAACTGCTTTCGGGCTCCTAATGCGGGGCACATTGCAAAATACAAAACCAAAAAAAAAGAATTCAAATGCTGGGCACTTTTTGGCCATTAATCAAACTATCTCACGGGAGCATCACACACACACCCATACACACGTCAATAACGAGTGCGCGTGTGTGTGTGTGTGCTTGTGGAGCCAATCTGTATCATTGTATCTCTTAGCTGCAGATATTTACTTGACTTTTGATAAGCAAACGAAGAAAAAAGGCAAAAAGAACAGTCATGGCCATTCGTTTTTTAGCATATCCTCCCAGTAGTAAATTAAGATGGCCAAGCAGAAAGAAGAAGAAGAAGATGTACAAAAAAACAATCCTAAATAGAGATGCTTTTCGTACACTCACATGTTTCAGGAGCTAACGAGAGCCGGGCCTTTAGGTTGTGACTTTTGCCGTCCGTTGACAGTTTGATTAGAATTTGACTGGAGAGCGTCGCAGTGGGGGTACAGTTGTGTTTGCGTCAACTACCAAAAAGCCAAAAACTTTCTTAGGAAATGGCCCAGGACTCGGGGGAAGGCTGATTAGGTTAGCTGCGAGCTATTCTTAAAATATAAAACTGTGAATTGAGATTTTTAAATATAATCATGAATTTTGTTAAGCTGATATTTATGTAGAAGTTTAACAATTCAACTATAATATTATTGTTAAGTGTCAACAGAGAGTTTATTAATTCTTATTTTAAGTTTAACTCCTATAGTTTGTGTAGACTTAAAGGAATTCTTTCAAATAAATTACTTCAATTCAAACCTCAAAGTGCATCCTAACCTCAATATTTGCAAATTTTCTTTAAATATTATACCACATATCCAGCCTCATATCGAATAAGAGTTCGATTTGATAAACATCTCTTCCCTTCTTCACCTTTCTCGAGGAGCCAAGTATGTCGAAAATTGAGCAATCGCCAGTAGTGGACCTTGCTGATGAAACTGTTTAGATAAAACCAAAACGAACGCTTAAAAAATACATGCTGCAGATGCAGAGGGTAAAAAAGGACACACGGCCATTACGTGCGGCTTGTCCGGCGTGCGGGCAAATAAAAAATCACATTAGAAACACACGTTGCCATCAACACTTCAAGCGAAACTCGTCGTGTAATAAATGATCTATGTAATAGACCTATCTGTGTCTGTGTGTGTGTGTAGCCGAAGAGCAAAAGTTTGTCCATAATGCTTTTATCTGCGACAGGCCAAGTGACCAACTGCCCCGCCCCCACATCTCCTCCAACAGCCCAACAGCCGACAGTCGACAGCGAGGTGTGGCGTGGTCTTTCATTTTTTTAGGCAAATTTCGATTGTGTGCATTAGATTAGCAGGCGTTAGGCTTAGGTGTGGGTCCTGTGTGCTGGCCACATTATAAGGGTGTAAATAAAAATATTAACACTAAACCCACATCCACACACATACTGACACACACGCGGCACACACGCACACCCCAATCAGAGAAAGTTACCCCCAGCCAAGCGACACTCGAGATTTGCCTCTTCGCCATTTGGGAGCCCATGCATTAGCATCTTATTGTTGCGTATTCGATTTGCGCTTTGCTTTTTTTGTTTTCGGGAAGCTCTTTGCCATTTAAATTGAGTAATCACTGGGGGGCAAAAGTTTTGCTCTTACAGCACCCGCTCAGCCTCCTTTGGCTCACTTTTTCGCTGAGTAGGCGCTGCGGCACATGTGATGCAAATGAATGATTGGGCTTGAATCTAGACTAGGACAGGAACTGAGTATTAGCTCAATTCGTAGCAGCTTTGACAGAAGCGATGATGAAGTGAGTCGACGGACTGCGCAGTGCGCTGCACACGACTAGTCAAGATATTCTTACATGTGTGGACGTACACAAATGATGGCTTTACTTCATCTACGTCTGCTTCTGTACTGTCTACATATTTCTATTATGCTTATCACAAAGTCAATTGCATCCAAATGGAATAGGTTTCCATACATAAATCAACACGACAAATAGATAATCGTATGGTATAATAGACAGACGGATCTAGACATCACGACTCAGCTGCATTTTATCTTTGATATTAACACGAGCGCATTCAAAATCGAGTCTATAAAGATATTTATTTGAATATATATATGTACATATAAGGAGATCAATATTATGATGATATATCATTTGACTTGCGGTTTAAAGCAGCCCGTGCTGCTTACATATGAATGCCATAAGGGCCATGTCACGCAGCTCCAGGGTGACCCGCTGGCGGTGCATGGTCATCATATATGAGTCTTGGAAGCGTTGCGTCAAGAACATCTCTGTCGCCGTTTGTAGTGCCTCCAAGGCGCCCATTGTGATGCGAAAATGCGGCTCACATTCACACTTCTCCATCATAATCTCACGAACCACCCGGCCAAAGGATATGCGTGGAATCATAAAATTAGGCGTACGCTGCAGCAGGCGAACTTCACGTTTGAACTTTTGCGCTCGTCTGAAAGGATTTGATTGCTTGCGGCGTTTTGAACATGTTGGTTCAAGTGGACACTCTGGTTCACATGCTGGTTCTGTTGGACACGCTGGTTCTACTAGGCACTCTGATTCTAGGGGAAACGTTAGTTCTTGTGGACACGGCAACGTTGGTAAAAGTACGTTTCTTATTGAAGAATTTGCTGGACAGGCATCAGCAACGTCTTCCTCTTCGTTCTCATTGATTCCGTCTGCATTCTGTGATTCCTCTAAGTGCTTCTGTTGCTTGCGAGTCGTGGAGCAGCGCGGTACACCATCAAGTCCAAAAGCAATAGACAAGTCCGAATCGGAATCATCAGATTTTGGCATGTTAGACCGAAGCATATTATGAAAATGACTTTATGTTTTTTTAACGCCACTGTTAAAAGATTTTTGCTACAAAATACTTTCAGTGCTGTAAACGTTGGAAAACTACAATCAAGTGAACGGCGTTCACTCGCAGCTTAACCCTTTGGTGCACAGCTAGAACAGTGAATAATTCAAGCGAAACTAAAAAATTTACTTATTAGGTAAATATCTTGATAAAAAATAAATCATTAAATTAATGTCATTCAATTGAGTAAAGTTATCATATAAAATATTTGCAATATAATATATATGCAAAATTTAAGCAAAGTATTTGTTACTTAAGTGCAGTGCTGTAAATGATTGGAAGTGGATCAAATGAATGGAGTTCACCCGCTATGCAATCACAGTAAAAGTGTTCACTTTGCGGCTGTTAATACATTTGAAATAAACTAAAATTTATAATTTTGTGGTACCATACAATACAAAGAGTACGAATTAAGTGTGCCCATAGTTAATTTGATATGGCTTAAAAATGTTGCAGTTTTTGTGGTTTTCTTTTGCAATTCATACATACATATGTATGTAATCGTAAAATTTCCATATGTACATACATACATATGTATGCATTGACGTGTGTATGTGTACGTGACATAACATTTTCATGTGAGTGAAAAGTCCCACATGTTATTGGGCATTTATGTATATGTGTGAGGAATTTTGGCAAGCAACATGTTTGTTATGTGTGTTTGTGTTTATGTAAATATGTGCCGCGATGCCTGTGTGATTTTAAATCTTCCCACCCGCTCTAGCGCGTGTGAGAGTGCTTTAAGCGATAAATAAAAAATCCCAATTGGAATGTCGTAGCACATTCGCCATCGCGAGCCAATGTGAGTAAAGTAAAACCGTAATATTTATTGAATATAAAAATGCGAGATTATTTTCTAATAAAATCAGTTTTCGCTTTTATAGTGATTGTCCAGTCAGCCTTCGCATTTACTGTACCTATCGGGTAATTCACCTGAGACCAATATAGCATTACAGATACATAGCTGTACATAGCTGCCTAATCCCCTAGTGTAGATCACCTGGACTCTCACAAATCAAGTGCATTACTTGTCGAAATTGAATCCTTCGGCAGTGCCCAAGTCCCTTGCCAATCCCCTATAGCAATCGCACAATTACGAGCCATGAGCTGGTGAAATTTGGAACGCACGAATGACTTTACCAAAAAGGATTAAAGCCGGCCAAATTAACCGAGAGCCGAGCTCACAATAATTGCTGCTACGTCTGAGTGTTTTTTTAAGCCACCCACACAGACTGGACCCTCTGGGCTCTTGGGTTAAGTAAACAGTTTAACTGCGAGAGAGAGGTTACTTGCAAAATTAAAAAAAGAGATGAGAAGAGAAGAGAAGAGAGGAGGGTAAGAATGTTGAGTCTGCGTCTTGGGACAGCCTTTGTTTGTTCTAATTAAAACGGCGCAGGCGTGGAAAATGCAACGTCATGAGAACTGCAACATGGACGATGTCTACATGGAGAGCTGTGCGTACTTAATGCCAGTCAGCTAGGTAGCAGAAACTGTATCTGATTTACATTTCTCCTGTTTGCATTATGCAAAATATTTGCCCATTGTTGGCATGTCAGCGAGCAGCAGGCAGCAGGCATAAGGCAGCAGGCGATGCAGCTAAGAAGATTCGCAATGCCAGCGTGGCTCGAACCCCGTGACCACCAAGAATGTGGCCGTTCCCTTGCTTTGCATACGATTTGCTGTTACTATTCAGTGCCCAGTCCAAGGTCCTGCGGCGTGTGAACGTCTCCCTACTGCTCTGCCGCCCGGGCAGTCCTCTACTTTTTCCGCACTATTTTAAATGATAAAATTTTTTTAGAGAAATGTTTTTTAAATCGTCCGGGTCATGGACCAAGGTCAAGTGCTTGAGATGTGCCAAAAAATTGGTTTCTTTTTCGTCTTTCAATTTTTTTTATGTATATATTGTTTGGCATAGGTAGGCATAATATTTTGATATTTTGCATATGTTGTCCAGGACCTTGGGGTCAAGTTTTTAAGTGGCGAAAAACTGTGAGAAATGCAATTTATATTTGGAAGTTCTTGGAAGTTCCAGATCAAGAGATTAAGTGATCTTATTTGAGCTAGGTTTGATATATTTGCATTTAAATAGAATTTGAATGAAAAATAAAGAGAGTTATTTTAATCTGATAAATATGTTTATTATAAATACAGATTCTCATGTACAGTGAAGTCTGTTAATTTTGCGCCTCTATTGAAATCCCCAAATAAGAAAAACCAATAAAAATATGAATCTAAGATTGAATGTGGTCGAAATTATTCTAATTCATATTTCTCATAGAAATGATATTGAATCTATAATTATATACAATTTCCAATGACGATATCCTCTTTTATAGATTAATATTTTTCGACGTATTATTTAATATTTTATAATTTAATATGTATTTTTTTATGTTATATAATATTCACAATTTTAAAATAATCATGTTCTTAATACACAAGATGGCTTTCTTAAACCATCTCATATACATTTAGATCAGCCTAGAAATAGTGTAATCATCATGTTCTATTGTTTGAATGCACTCGCTGTGTAGTTGCTTGCATTTGAGTGGAATATTTTACTTGTATTTTTTTTTTTCATAATTTTTTGCAAGTATTTCTCATATGCATTTTCATAATGTTGCATTTACTGACCAGTTTTTGTCCCCTTTTATTTGTATGCATATATTTTGTTGCATAAAACCGTTCGTTCAACCCCCTTGGCAGCATGCCACATTTGCCATATAAATAACAGACAGATGAGGAGGACTGAGGAACGGGGCTGGCCCTTTACTTTGCATTTTGCAGAACATTTTTGGCATGGAAATTATGAAAATGGGAAATGGGAAGTGGAAAAACATGCAAATGGCGCGCTATCCGAGAATGCTAGATGAAAACATTGTTTGGCCAAAGCGCCAGGCGCAGCATACAAACACGCACACACAAATATATATATATATATATATATATGTACAAAAGGGATATGTAAGGATATGCAAGGATATGCATGCATGCAATCAGTCACAAAAATGCCGGCCTTTGTTTGCAGCCTCTGAATAAAGTCCAAGGGATAGAAAATCATCATCAACAGGAAAATGGGAAATGGAAAACAGAAACAGGGGCAGCTCGGGCTTGGGGTCATCGAGAGGTCAGCAACGGGATTTTCATGCTATTGTTGACAAGGGATGCAATACATACACACATACACACTCACACATATACTAGCTACCATGCAATTTTTGCCTGCTTTTTGGGCAATTTCCACATTGTTTTTTTGCTGGCTATTGAAATTTTGGAAATTTTGCTACATTTGATTCAATTTTTTTTAATATTTTTTATCTGTCTCCATGCAAAGGAGCTGCAACAAGGATGAGGTTAAGGAAGCTGCCTGCCAGGCACGCGACGTGTTGCATTAAAACAAGCAGTCAAAGAAAAACCATGGCACGCGTTGCAACCATTTTTTAGTGGCACAAACCGCCCTCAAATGTTTTTTTTTTTTTATTGCTATACTCTGGAAAAGAGTCGTTTGATTTTAATACAGAGATTGTAACTTTTAGCTGATTATGATTATAATAGAGAAGCAAACAAATCAAAGTGGAATCAAAATCGAAATTGATAATTGATAACTAGACTATAAAAAATAACTACTATAAAATGAATTATTACCTATTAAATTAAACTAAAAATCTGCACAATCAGTAAAATGAAGTTTGTGATAACAATGAAGTTAATAAAATGTTGTATTATTATTTTGTTGTTTTTAGTAAGTCAGTCTTCAAGCAAAGATTTGTTCTACTATTAAAATCACCAGCCATTTATTTATCTAAATTGTTAAGCAATATATTCTGCGTTTCGCAGAGCAGACTATGTTGTTTCCGAAACAATAATAAATAATATTTTCTGTTTTTCTGGCTAAAGAGCGAATTAAAATATTTTCAAGATTCATTCTATTAGTCGCTAGAGTATTTAATTTTCGACTTAGCGCAATATATATTGTATTATTATTTTCTTGTTGTTTTTTCTGCTCTTTCTCTCTTTTTTGTTCGTTCCTTAATCGGATCTGCATATGTTGTGTAAATTGATATAGCACGTCCCGCTCGACAGGATCATGCTGCTGCGTCGCATATGTGCATTTTATCCGTTTGCTGGCGAACACGCGCCATTTTGACTTTAACCCCAAACGTGTGCGTGTATGTTGCGAGGGCTGCACAGGCTGGGGGTGGGTGTATGGCCGAAAAGGGGTGGCGCATTATGCATAAGCGCAAGGGTTGCTCTATCACTCTATATAGTGTGCTGCATATGGCGACGCTTTGTCATGCATATCGAACTGCGACGGCTGTGTCCATTTAATCCAGCTCCTGGCGGCCATTGGCGATTGTCGCCGCTCACTCATCCTGGCCGTTATTGGCCCTGGGTCAGGTCATGGCACATTAATTGCACTTTTATGCCGTAATTTTTATTGATTTCTGCCGTGTCGATTCCACTTAATGCTTTCGCTTTGCATAATATGTGTATATAGAAGAATAATAGTAATATGAACTTCCAGCTGTCAACGTTGTATTTTTTTCTTTTAAATATATATATATAAATGTTATCAGAAAAGTTGAAGGACTGTCTTCGGATAGTCACACAGTTAATGATAGTTAATGTAATTAATTTTATTTTAGAGTTTTATTATGCTTAACAATAAAGAAAAATTATTTTAAATTATTCTACTCTCTATTCTACTTCTCTACTTTTCACATTTTTCATGAAAATATACATATGTACATATATGAATATGCTACTAGTTTAATGAGAAAAACTCTCCAAAATACGTTCCCACCCCAATTGCAAATTCGAAAATCTGTCATATCAAACAAGATTCAAACTTTAATTCACAGTTAGAGCCCCTGGAAATGTTGCGTGTTTTCTTGACCGGCTTTGCATGATGCAATGCATTTCTTATAACAATTGCTATTATACCTTGATCCCTACTCCCCAACCTCTCGTGATTGTCCTTCTAGAACTTTGTCAATGTCTTTTGCCTTGACAATAGGCGAATTTCGGGGTATTTCTTTTATGGCATTTCGAAAGATTTCTAACGGTCATTTACTCTTGTTGAATTCTATGCAAAGTAAATTTAACTGTCACTCAACCAAGGGGTTGCTTGTCGCTAGGACATTGGGAGACGCTCGATGCCAGCATTTAAAAAGTTGTTATCTTTTCTTACATAATAGCTTGATTTCATATACATACACCAATGGGAGGTTTGTTGTCCGTGATCATTCATCAAATTCATCAAGAAAATGAATGAAAAGAAAACGAATAAATTTTAATAACAAGCCGAATATACCCAGCTTGTAAAATGAATATATCTGATTCTCTTCTGTTTATTATTTTAACATACATAGGTAATGCAAAAATGTTGTAATCAGATTCTGAACAGTCCGAAACTTTTAACGAACGAACTCATAACTACATGCTAAGGTTATTCACCGTGTAACTGGATTACAAGCAACTGCAGTCTAAACATTTATGATGCCCAACAATTAGCCGAAAGGCAAGCGATCGCACATATAAAAAAGCCGCTGCCTTAAGAATCCCATCAATATTTCATACATCATAAAAAAAGACAGAAGACAAGATAATAAAATTGCTAAAAATATCAAAACAAAATAAAAAACCAAAGCACGCGACAGAAGCGAGCGAAGAGGATGCCAAAAGGAAGGCAGGAGCCCCTACTCAAAAGAAGATGCTGCAAGCGAAAGACACGCAGCCAAAGCCTATAAAAAATCCTATTAAAAAGACGCACACACCAATACGAAAATACAACAACAAACAAACAACCAACAGGCGGATCGATGGCGCATTAAAAAGGAGATTTACCTATAAAAAAAGGTAGACAGCAGATGAGAGCAGACCGAGGCCAACCAAATTGATAGGGAAAGCAACAGCAAGGGCGACAAACAGGATGACAGCAGAAGCAAAACGCTCAAAACGTCTGCCTGGCACGAGAGAAGTTAAAGAAGCTGCAAGCATCTCATCTCCTCTCTCTTTTTTAGGGAGCATAAAAAAAAATAGCTGAGGGTCGGCCGCAGCACGCGACTAGGAGAAGAGATCCAGAGTCCTTGAGAGATCCTCATTTGCTTGCATACCTGGAGGACTGCACTTTCAGCGCGCGCCGGATCCGATTTTGTTGTAGATTTTTTTTCCCATTTTTTGTGAAGCGCAGCTGCTACTGAAAGATACAGAGCGCGAGAGAAAGAGACGGGGAGGCAGTGATGCTGCAGAGGGGCAATAGCTGGGCGACATTTTGAAGTGTTCATTAGTCGCACATTTACATATCCAAATTGTCAGCTAGGCTAGGGCCGGAGGGGCGGCACGAAGAGGCATGCGACGCGTGTCTTGCGGCTTTTAATTGCTGTCAACTTTGTGGGGACAACTGCAGAGAGCGCGTGAGAGGGAGGCAGATACGGCAGGAGGGAGGAGAGCGGAATTAATGTGTTGCACACTTCGTTTGACATTCGAGTGGCTGCAACAGAGCCTGCAACACCTCCCCCACACACTGCCACACTTGCAGCTCCCCTCGGTCTGTGTTTTTTGTGCGCTCCTTTTGTTTGATTTGTCATTTGATCGCCAACACAGTTGGCGCGATTAAAAAATTAAGTTTCCCCCCATTGAAAATAAGAAAAGTGTCGTCATTGTTTTTCTTAGAGTTCGCTGACTTCTTTGCTGGCAGACTGCGACTTTGTGGTTTGATGAGTGCAACCACGTGGCATGGGCACGGGCACGAGCACGGGCCGAGGATGCGACCGGGGCTCGCGCTATCGGAGAGGGAGCTCTTTGGTGTTGATTTTGACTAATGTCGGCATTTCGACTAGGGCCAGATCACCTAACTTGGTTGTTCATCATTTCAAATAGTTTTGAAATATGATGCCAAAATAAGCTATATCTAGCATCTATCTAGTTATCTGTATGAAACTGAATAAGTTTGACATTTTTGAAAGTTTACGTCATAGCTTTTCAACATAATCTCTGACTTGAATCAAATTAATTTTGGTAAATACACAAATTAATCTCCTATGATGAAGAAAAGTTTTGGCTTTTTGAATTCGTATTTAATGTGGTTTATCGTGTAATGGAAGCCATATAAGAGAAGTAAGATTTTAGTAAACTCCGTTGTAGTTCCTTGAAATTATCTTCAGAGATAAGTCTATATATAATTAGGATAAGAAGTATTCGAAATTACCTTCTTCTATATTTCTATCTAAAACTATGATAATATTCAAATACAGAAGGGGTTTTGCCAATGTTATTTGACTATACAATCATTTCAATATTTCATGATTATACGCAATTGAACTGAATAAAATTTTATTTCTGCTATTTTTTTAATCTTTACTTTCACTCTTGTTTCTTTCCCTTTTTGTTTCCACTGTGGAAAAGCAGCTCGTAACAACTTTTCAGTCGACTTCGATGACGAATTGTGCCAACACACGCCAGGACAGCCCTCATATGGTGTTTCGAAATCGTCCTGGTATTCTTATGGCTTTCTATGGCAGGATCTAAGGGGATCTAGGAGTCGGACTTCGGTAGGGGTAGGGGCAGGAGCTACTGGGTCCGTGGGGTGCTCGTCGTTTTTTCTATAGTTTCTACACACAAAAACACATTTTTAAAAATTGTTGTTGCTATTGTTGCGTCAGCGAGTGGTCCTTTGTGTATTATCCTTTGTGCCAGTCGGTTTCTCTCTCTCTCTCTCTGTGTGAGTGAATGTATGCGTGTGTGTGTGCGGACGGGGCCAAAGGTTATTTAGGCGACATATAACGGCAAGAGGCAGTCCGCGCACAGCTGCCGTTTCGTCATGTCCTGCGTGTGAGGATTGCCGTTTTATATGCCCCAAGTATGCTCCACATCGAGGCTCCACAGGAGAATGTAAGAAATATGGAAAACCTGCCGCGTAATCCGCTGGTCGATGGGAAAAGCGAAAAATCATGCAATTTTTGTTTGTTCTATATTGGGAGGGAATTTTTCCTGCTGTTCGGCTCATTAAAATTGTCAGTTCAGGGTGCGTCCATCAAATGGACAAGCGCTACGAGTCGGTAGCATCCTTTTTGGCCAGTCAGTTCTTTTGGCTGTTCATTTTTGGCGGCATTTGTAGGTCACTCGCTGACCTACACTGACCAGCTGTCGTGTCCAGAGTGCTGTGCCATTTTCGTCGGGGGTTGCTCTAAAGGGATATGGATACGCTGGTCATGCGAATTGAAGGTAGCCGCCGAGTGACCATGTTGTGCGTGTCCTTGCAGCAGGCGTTGGGCAACATACACGAGTCATCTAATTGCGACTGCTGGTCGAAGGGGTTGCTACCCATGTGAAAGGCTTCCATATATACAGAGTATATATATAGAGAGAAAGAAAATGGGCTTATGTAACAACCCACCCGCTCCTCGCAATCATTATTGTTCTGACTGTTATCCTGTCTGCCTCCCCAGGCAGCACCCGCAAGTGCTGTAGCTAAAAAATTAACGCATTTTCATTTGGCAAATCAATGAAATTTTCAGTTTTTGTTGCGCTATATTGCAATGTTTTCTTTTTTTTTTGGCAAATCCTTTCGTTGCGCACGTGCTTAGTTATCCTGGCAGAGCTCAACCCTACAATCAGCCACGCACGAGCTGACAGGCCCCTTTTATGCGCCTGTCGTCGTTTCCCTTTGCTCTCCTCTTTTTTGTATCAATTTGCAATTTTTTCACCCATTTTCGAGTTGGTTTCCACAACTCGTCCTTGATTAAGCCCCTCGCTTTAATGAAGAGGCGCGGCTGTGATTTCGAGCTAGTTTGCCAAGCGTGACATGAAATTCGATTTTTTTTTAGTTTTTTGTTGCGAATTTCAGTTTTTTCGTGTATTTTTCACCGATTTTGTTTGGTGTTTTGGTTTCATCTGCCAAAAGGATAAGCGAAAGGGTGCGCGTGTCCTTTATGTGTCACACTTGATTATTGGGCCACCCCTAACGGTGCCAAATTTAAAGTGTGAAAGGTGTTCGAAACAGTTTTTAAGTTTCTCAAAATGGGGTTGTTTTTAACGAAAAACAGTTTGGGAGTATGTCAGCTGTGTTTTTTTATGGATACAAATTATTTTTCAAGTGATTTTATTTAAAGACTATAAAAATGTACGATTTTCGACATTTTCCTTAAAACAGATATAACGTCGAGGGAACAAAATTTATTTAAATCTATAATTTTGAAATTGCTTTTTTATAACTGCTGAAACCTCTATCTTAAGTTGTATTTTAATATTTTTAAAGTTTACCTGTATTTTGAGATAAATATACATATTTACAATATGTAGATATTATAGTTTATTTTGATACTATTACTTTGTATTTGAATATCTGAATATTTGTAAAGTCTTACCTTTATTTACTGCTAAATATGCATATATACAATCAATAGATATTATTTAAGTTTTGTGTATATACATTTGAATACATAATTTTGTATTTGTGCTTTTTTCGGCTGAAATATTTGCAACCTGAACAATTTTTGTTTTTAATCGACTGCGGATATTATTTAAGCCGCGTAAAAGCCCAGAGGGCCATTTGTCGGCCGTCTTTATATTTTTTTGGCAGCGTCTCGACCATTAGGCTTAAGAAAAATTGTCAACGGCTCCAAAGGACTACAATGCGATACGAGAGCCGAAGGATGCGCAGCGAGGCGAAATAAAATTAATTTTCGGAGCGCGATAGAAGCGGAGAAAAAATTAACAAAAAAGTAAGCGGTAGAAAGCAAAACAGTTTTTCATTTACCCCAGCCGAGGCCGCGCCGAGAGTGACGTCCACCTTCGCTTTTCTATTGCCCCTTGCTTAGCCTACTTGAGTACTTGCTGGGCTTGGCACGCCCCCTGCGTAGCCTCTGGTCCTACAAATCTGTTTGGTAGCCCGTTGCCCCCTTTGTAAAAAATTAGATTCATTTGTGCGCGCTTGCTTTATTATTTAAATTCTTGCGTTATTTTTCTAAATTTTCGTCCTGCTGCTCGTTGTCCAGCAACGCTGTGCTTCTTCTTGTTTTTGTTATTGTTGTTCTACGAGAGGTCCACAGCGAAAAAAAAAACAGCAGTGCCGGAATTTTAATGGAAAATGCCGCCAAAGTAGAAAAAAATGTTTAAGCAAACAAAGACTTGAAACTGGGAGGCTGTTTAAGCTGCTTTCAACTCGAAGGACACACGCTCTAAAAAGGATGTGCCGGACGCAGCCGCGTAAATTGAAAGCCGCGTCGCTCGCTATCTGCCCGCCCGGTGTCGTTGACGCGGGCGGCTGTGGGCGTGGCACATGACATGAATGCCCGGCGGCTCATTTCAAGTGAAAAATGAGCAAAAAATGAAATGAAACAATGGATGAGTGAGCGGGCGCACGGGCCATAGATAGAGCTGGCCAGGACGAACACGTAGATGAAGAAGATTCCAGCGAGAATGAAAATCGTGGCCAATTTTAATTTTTCTTTCTCGCTGCTTACATTTCTAATGGGCATTTTTCGGTGGGTTAATGTGCTGTTAGGGTGAAAGCTAAAGAAAGACGAAGCAGTAGAGGAAGAGAATCCCCCACACCACACCCACTGTGCTAGCGTTTGCACGGCAGCTAAAAGTTTAGCCTACTGGGCCCCACTCTCCGCCCGGACTGATGAATAATGACAACGCACAAAAAGTGAACTTTCATGCTGGCCCCAGCATTCGAGTGGGTGTGGCTGTTGGACGTTGGACGTTGGATCTTTGTCCGGCGTACTTAAAAATGCGCAAATACGATGCCTTTGCTTACACTGTGCTCAAGATTTACATAGCAGATTAATGTTTCGTAGCGTGGCTGCACAGTGTGAGAAGCGAGCATCGAGGGGCGACGCCAGAGGTGCCACTGAACTGATATGATGCTAAGAATGGAAGGCACATCATTTAGGAACTACAGCTAGGAGCTTAAACTCTTAAATTCATCTAACTAAATGTATATAAAATGCATTACGATTATTATTTATATCTAATAATATTAATGATAATAGGATGTACATTTAAAATCAGGTATACGATTGAAATTATACTTCAATGTTATCGATAAATCGATAAATTAAAGTAATATAAATTGTACTTTTGCATAGAATATAGTATTTAAATTTAAAATATTGTACAATCGAAATTGTACTTATCTTTATCGATAAAAAATATCGATGATGCTTTAATATTATAGGTAATTATAATCAAGTTAAAAATGGATACGAAGTTGCTCTAGTGAACAGAACTTGAGTACAATATATACTGGCTTCTCAAGTATACAAGTCCTACCTTCAATCAATTTTTATTAAACTTGACTTTGGATTCATCAAAGTCTTTAAAAATTAGTTTTTACCATCGGCATTTTTATAGCCCGCAACGGTGTTTTAAATTCTAAGCACACGCGTTATATATTTGTCATTCTCTGCCTTTTCTGCAGCTCCTTCTGCGAGGCCTTTTCTCTCCCTCTCTTTCTCTCTGTCTCTGTCGCTCTCTGGTATTCAACTGCTAATGAAAAAGCTTTGAGGGCAGACGCACTCAAAAATTAAATTAAATAAAGGCTTTTGTGCGCAGGCAGCGAGGCGCACTTGAGGCTCAGCCACGCCTTCCTCAGTCCTGCTTCTTAGCCTACGAGTTGTGCACGAGTTTTCGTGCAAAAGTTTGTTTTGCATTTGCCTTAGAAACAAAACGATAGTAGGGACCCAGAACCTTATCGCACTGCCAGCTAAACAAAGCCAGTTGCCAAGGACAATAGAAAAGCGCGACAAGCAGGACAAAACTGCTCGCCAGTAGCTACCAGCCTGTCCAGCCGGCACGCCTGCCCAGCTCTCAATGGCTGCTGGCAAATATTTCCTTTCTTATTTTCATTTTTTTTGTGAATATTTCGCTTTTAATTTCCAAAGCGCAAATTACGCTCGTGTGCCTTAAATATTAAAAGAGGCTGTGGGGCTGTTGTTTGCTTTTCCGTTTTTTTTTGGTTATCCTTTTGGCCATTTCGCATGGCCAATGACGTGCCAGGACATTATCTGGCGCGTTGTGTCCTTTCATTTTAACGCGGCCATTATCGCGATGCCTTCTGCTGCTCTGTCGCTGTTGCTGCTGCTGCTGCTGGCTACTTCTATTCCTTCTGTCTTCTTCTTGTTTATACAGCGGCATTCGCTTGGCTACGCGTTTAATTAGCCGCCATTTTGAATACACTTGCAAAGGGTACAACAGTTAGCGACTCGAGTTGATTCAGGAATACAGGGTAAATATGGAAAATCTAAAAGTTTCAACTCATGTAGATTGTGAATTCTATATAAGAGTTTTATTTTATATATACCTACTTTTATATTATAATTATTTATTGTTAATTGCTGTATATTTCTCATATGAATACTAACTATAAATGTGAAAATAATTCCCAATTTTTATTTGCAGATTTGGAGTTATTGAAGCGGTAATAATAAATTAATACCAAACAAAAATTCAAAGTATTTAAGATCTCGCTTGTTGGTAGTTCCTAAAGAGCATTCATTCGTCGATTCTGTATATTGAAGTGTCTATTATTTTCTCTATATCTATTTAGTCATTCCGTATTTCTATATACTTTCGTTGTATTGTTTGACGCTGAATGAGAATGATGATGGGCGATTCCATTGTCCTGTCATTTGCATAGCAAATGTCCTGCCCCGCACTGTCGACTGTCATCGTTTGTCTCAGTTTTTAATTATCACAGAGCACAGGAAATTCCCAGTGCCGAAAAGTTTTCACATGAGTTCACTTGAGCGCAGCGCCTTGAAACAGGTGTGGGCATTTCAACTGACCGCTTATTCCATATATATTTTACATACATACATATATTTTAGATTGTACAACACTGTTTTGGTATAACACTTGACAACACCTCTTTCTTTCCACTTGTATTAAACCCATTATGATCGCGTGCTTAACAAATTAGCCAGCAATTAGCGGTGTCATCAGCGGCAACCCTTTCGTGCCCATCCCCTAGGTGCACAACCCCTCATGCCTTCACCCCTTTTGCCTTGATGCGTTTAATAAGTCATTAAGGGTTTACGCTTTGGGGTAAACCCTTTGGCAGGGGGTTGACTCTGTTCACTGACGACTTCATCAACACCAAAACAACAACTTGGGAAGTTAAGTGGCATGTCCCACAAAAAGGGTTTAGTTACACATTTCAAGGGATATTCAAGGACATTTCAGAATCATTTGCAGCGCTTGTTGTGACAGTTTTTTTCGGGCAAGATCCCAACGACAACGCCCACTTATAATTCCAGCAAATTGCGCAACATTTTACTTTGAAAAAAAAAAGAAGCAAAATATATATAGAAAAAAGGAGCACATAAAGAACAACAATTTCCCAGAATCCTTTTGGGCAGCAAACACTTAAAAGAGAGAGAAAAAGAAGAGGAAAACTGCAACTGAACAATGGAACAAACATTCAGACAAAAGAGGAACAATAGAGCAAATCCTTTAATTTGTTGTTATCCTTTTGAAGAAATGTGAGTCGGTAATGTGCTGCCCAATCTCCTTGGTGAGTATCCTCGCTACGTACAGTCGCTGCTCAGCCAAAGAAAATTTATGTAACTCTCACACCAAACTGACGTTATCTTGCGCTTCTTGAGCTACTGCCTGAGGTGGATGTATTTATAAATACATATATATGATCATATATGTATATGAGGAGGCGCTATTGTCATCGTAAATTCCAATTTTGAAGCCGGCTCGAATAGACGCAGGTGTGTGTGTGGCCTTATCGGACGAACTAGATCAAAGTAATAAAGGAACTAACAAAACGTTGCTTAACCCTTGGGGTAAGCCTCTGGCTTGGTCAACTTTTCACATTTTAATTGGTTAATTGCCTGTTACGAACGCCTTCGCGTCTTTTGTTTAACTAGAAATGTAAATGAAGCAACGTCAGCAAAAGGTCGATCGTAGATAGAGTGTAGGGTTATGCGAGTGGCCTTAGAGTAGGTCAGTTTTGTGGAGAGGACCGACCCTTCAACTAACTAGGCTACTGCGCTGGATATAGATAAAGAGGCAGCTCGATTTGTGGTTAGTTGAGAACAAGACGTACCATAGTACAACTCATAAGTTGACTGAATTTCCTTCCAGAATTATCGAGGTATTGAAGAAGCAGTATATAGTAATTTTAGGGATTTCACATCAGCGATAATCAAAAATCTACTGGTTAAGCAAGGATGTCTAGGGTTGCGACTCATTTAATTTGCAAGCAACTCTTAGATCCATTCTAGTTCAAGTGTTGCTTGAACTGATTACAGAAGCTAGCTCTAAAATGCGTCGTTGTCATCGTCCTGCTGTTCGCTGTGGGCGCGTAAATTGAAAAACGTTGGCATGTCCTTGTATTGTAGGTCTGCTGCCCCGCCCCGTTCGCAGTCCTATTTTGAACCGACAACAACAAAGCAAATGGTAAAATGGTAAAAAGGAAGCGCAAAAGGCGAAAAGTTTTCGTTTTATTCCTTCTCTTTCGTTGAGAAATCTATTTGGTCCGGGCTTATCCCACGAACCGAAAATGGGCCTATGCCAGGACATCCTGTGGGCTGCTGTGTCCTTTAACTGTAAACAAACACAGCAAAGCTGCAAATATTAAAAAAAAATGGAAGGAAACGAAGAGAAAATGCCACGCAAAAGGTTCATCAATGTGCACAAAGATTGGAGGAGTCGAGGAACTGGTGGGGCCTCAAAATGAAAAATAAATAAACCAACTTGAAAGTTGACAGGCAACCAGGATTTGAACCCGAGCCCAAGGAACTCCCACAAAGAGTCCATTTGCTGGTGTTGTTGTTCTTGTTGTTGCTGTTGTTGTTGTTGTCTGTTTTTGACAAACAAATCCTTGGGCTGCGAATCCTTCGTTGTGCGTGGTTACGCTTGCCAGGACAACGGACCCCGATGGGCCCGTC